GTCACATGCATTAAGCCCCCCCCATGCGTTTAAAAACGGCCATGAGACTTTTTAGCTAAAGATCATTAAAAATGGCCCAGTGGCCCATTTGAAATCACCATGTGATGCTGCGGTGATGCTACAGCATTCTAATTAGAACACGGAGCAGACCCAATTAATCAAGTCTGCTCTGACAGGTTCTAATTAGAACGCATTGGAGCATGTGTATAGGCACCCGTTGTGTCTATTAGCTTCTGGAATGTGGTAAAGATGGGTTAGGATCCTCGAGGATCTTAACAATCATTGAAAATGATCTTGGCATGTCCCATAAATGAAACAATACTTTGACACAATTTTCACCTAAGACATTGACGTTTGACGAAGGGGACAATGGCTAATGAAAATAAGAGTGGGGGGAAAAGGAAATTGCCACCCTGAATGTGGGCTCTGAACAGGCTGAACCTGACAGATGCTTCTATAGGACCATGGAGAAGCCGTCAGAGAGGCAACTAATGAAAGATTACGAGCACACTGGAATGACACATTCAGTTGTTGCTTAAGGTATTTAAGAATATAAAAATATGGCCAAGCTAATGTTAGTAGAAGCTATATGCAAGTATGATTGATTACATAGCAGCGCCGGTTCTAGGGTGAAGCTGAGAAATCTCAAGGAGCTTAATGCCCTGAAGGTGTGGGAACTGGATAACATCTATTACAGATGTCTGATAGAGCTGACACATGCAACTGCAGGTTCTATAGCAAGTATTTTTAATGAAATGATCAAGCAGAAGCACTACAATATGATTCAAATAAAAAAAAAGGTACTATTAACACCTGAGGCGAAGGTGGAGGTGGAGAACTAATTTAGGCATCTGCAGATCCCATCAGTCTGACCCAAATGTCATGCAAGGTTTAAGAACAAATATTGAAGGGAAAAAATAATTGTCACAGAGGTAAATAGAATAGTGGATAAAATGCAGAATAACTCATATTGTGGATGTGTGGTAAGTCTCACCCTTTTGGACTTTAATAAACCTTTGATACGGTGCCAGGTGGGAAATGTAGTGAAGTGACAGAAGATGGGGATTAGGAAAACAATGTTAGTCACCTTTGTTTGAAAAGATGAATTTAGACTGGAAGGTGTTCAGTGAAAGGGTTACCAAGATGATCAGGAGAATGCAGAGTCTACTACATAAGCAGAGGCTAGAAGAGCTTGGCTTGTTAGACAGAGGTGTAAGACTGCTGTGCATGATGGGAGGGAGGAGAAATAATTAAATTAAAGGACAGTGTCGCCAGAAGAACAAATAAGTTTACATTGGCCATAAATAAATATAGGCTAAAAAGTTAAAAGAAATTATATAGTAGTGATGCTCTGGTGTATGGTATTCCAACGAGAATAAAGAAATAAGTGCAAGGAGTCACCTTGGGGTCGTTGCAGTGAGGGTGTTGGAAGTCTGCAAAGAAAATAATTTTTGCTAGCTTCATCAGCATATCAGACAGCATCTCACTAGCGTCTCTAGGAAACTTTTGCTTTTGGAAGATCCACTGACTAGAAGGGAATTTACGGATTTTTTCTGGTCGTTAGATGTTGGCGCTGAGCCTGTGTTGTCCTCTAGCTCTGTTTACACGGGGCAAACTAAGCTGTAGGCTGTTTTTGGGATGAGGATATGGATGGTGAAATACTCGATTGCTCACCTGGTGTGAATTAGCCAGAGTTTTGGATTGAGTGTAGTAAGATCTGAAGAATTAGAGATGTTTCGATGCTTGTATAAGTACAGTAAATGTGGCTTCTGTGTGTGATGCGGTAGCTATTTACTGTTTGGCTTGTGGTGCTGGTTGGTATTTTCTCAGGAAAGTTTCTTACCAATGAGACCTGGATTTTCAGAGCATGAGAGCCATGATGGCTGGTGAAAACCTATGGATGTGTTGATAATTCAAGGTAAAGCAGGTGTGCTTGATTGATCTTGGCTCTGTCATTGCTTTGTTGTAGGAACTTCATTTGTGTGCTTGGGCATGGGCTTGTCTTCAAATCCCACAGTAAACTGAGGGTGGGAATGCTCAGTTTTTAGGGGCACCTGCCTGTCCCTAATCCCCTTTATAAATCAATGTTTTCATTTCCCTAACAAAATCGAAGTGAAACTTGAGGGTTAGAGGGAACAAACAGTGCTTCCCTTCATTCTTTGTCAATGCGTTCTTCAGACCCAAGACGTACTGAAATGGCCTTCTTAAGCATCTAAATAGAAAAGCCCTTAGTCTTTTGGGGAGTGGAAACGCCGCACTTTACATATTGGAGATAAGTTAGATGGGTTAGTATTGTTTCCTTTGCAAATGGTCGATTTAATCATCGCATGTAATTGAGCACAACATATTTTTAGGGGTATGTAAAATGGAACGAGCTGCCTTTCACCACCAGAGTCCTTGTTGAGACAGGAGTGTGAAAAACCTACACACCAATCCTTTTTGCACTGTCTCTGCCTAGAGCTTTCTTTTCAGATGAAAGAAATCTTTTTCAGCACTGTCACTCTTAGCTCTTAGAAACTTAAATATTAAAAAATAAAATAAAATAAGCTAATACGAGGGGATATGAAACATTTTTAGCATCTAAAACACCACAAGACACTTCTTTTATAGGTGCTAAAAGCTTTAAGTAAGACAAAATCCTGCTGCTTAGCAGGGTATGTCAGCACTTGATGGCTAGGACTAATGCTTCTCTTTGTGCCTTAGATTTCTATTTTTGTTCTTGCAAGAACTGACTGTTTACATGAGATGAAAATGTTTCTTCACAGTATTACAAGTATTATCATTATCATTTTCCCTGCCTGCTGGAATTGGCTGTGTGCTGACCCTTTGCGTACTGGCCCAACAGCCACTGTGCGGTTTGGTACACAGGCCTTGTTATCCAGCCGGTCGGGTCTAATAATTTGGCACCAGGGGAGCGGCAATTAACACTGCCACCACTCTCCTGCCACCAAACTGCAAGACCCTTGGGGAGCCCTGCGGGCTGGATGACAGCTTTGTGAGGCAGATCTGACCTGTAGGCCAGGGGTTGAGCACTAGTAGCAGTGACTTTTGTGCTCCTCCATAACCAAGGCAAAAAGATGCTGTGCCTCTTACCCTGACCCCCTTAATGCAAAAGCTGTTAAGCTGAGCCTAGGTGCCCGTAGGGATATATGCATGTGTGTACTTTTGTTTTGCAAGTCATCCATCTTCTAGCCCAAGGGATGATGGATACAGGCTCTTCTTTGGCCTGTTTGACATGTTGAGGGGTTACTCAGAATAGAAATTAATTGTTCCCTCTTCTTCTAGCTCAGTCAGATAGGTTGTACAGGAGATTCAACTCTGCCTTGAACCCAAACTCTTCCAGAAGTAAGTGCCTTCATGTTTTTTAAAAGCAGTACAATGGTAAGTACTTTACAGAAACATACAGGCGAAACAAGAATTATATATCCTCAGTAAATCAGCTTCCCAAGACTTGAAGGCCTACAGAGGTTGTCTGGTTGGGGGTTGGAGGACTGAAAATAGCCTGGTCTGAATTGGGGGAAAGAAATGCTCAGCCCTAGGGTTGGGGTGAGCAGCTGGGCTTTGCATGCCCCAGGGCTGTGCTCCAAATGAATGCAAATGTTTGGTAGATTGGGCTGAACTGTTCCTGACCTAATTTAGTTCATCCTCACAGGTGAACTAATTTAGATTGGGCCAGCCATTTTTCGCCCGTGTTAACCTCCCCAAACGTCTGCGCAGATTGGCACTTAGATCAGATCTTAACCTAACGTTTAGGAAGATCTGCAATAGTATCTATTAGAAATCAGTTCCATGTATAGCTGTTCTTATTCCAGAGTAATCTTGCTTTATTCTGAATTAGACAAATCCAGTATGGAAGTTCCACTTTAAATTCACACCGCACCTTATTCTGGATTTTCATCCATAGACAAGCCTTTAGCGTCAGTCTTTTTTTTTTCCTGTGCTTTTCTTCACTGAGAGGGAAGCATTTGTTCAGTTACTCAAGTACAGCAGGAGGGAGAGAAATGTGAAACAGAAACATTAAACAGATTAAATAGTACAAGTTTTTCTTGAGTAAGAAGAATAATAACATCTGACTTTATTGTGTGGAAAACCCTTATAGTGATCTAAATCCAAATGACTATCGCTGTAACCATTTCCAGTATCTGATTTGTGTGATTTTGCTCCCTGAAAGTGATGTTTTCACCTACGTTCACTTTGCTTTTTTGTTAGTTTTGTTCATAAATGCCAGAATAAAATGAGGATGGTAGTTAAGAAACCAGTTGTACACGTTTACCAAATTGGTCATAAACGTATCAAAATATGCATTTGCATTTATGCAGGAGAGAAAAGTAAATATTTCCTCAGCACATAAACTTGAAGATCAGATAAGATGATCTGTGAATTGGTGTCCTTGGGCTACAGAGGGAAGGGTAGAGAAACAAAGTAACCTTTTGCTTTTAATCCCTTCCTGCTTCATTATTATAGTTAAAATATCCTCAAGATTGCAGCACTAAGGTAAATCATTTTCCTTCAAGGTAATCTTTAGGAAAGACAAAGGTTTTTGGCAAAGGAGGATTTTGCATTTACTAGTGCCCCCCATCTCCTGTGATAATCCTTCACTGTGCTGGAGACTTATGCCTGTAAATCTTATCCCCTGCAAATTGGCATGCTAGTTAACATTTTATTTCTCTTATGAAATGCAAATTGAGAGAATCTTTCTAATCCATCACTAACTTGAGGAAGGTTGTGGTGATTTCACCAAACACCTGTTGCAAACCACAGATGTTTTTCAGATGACTTTCAGCATAAAAGTGAAAGTAAGGAGTGGGACAAAATGAGTCCACGGTAAGACAAAGGAGCAATTGTCCAATGCATATGTTAACATAGTACACGAGATCAAAGGATGTGATGTCACTTTATAGAGAAACAGGTCAGGCAAGCCCAGGTAACTCAGGAAGCAGGTTGCTAATTATTCACAAAGAAAGTCAGGTATACAGTTACAGTGCTGCAGTAGGAAGTCAGGAGGTCAAAACTTGCTCAGTAACTGGCTCAACTTGAGATTGCTTTGGCCCCTTGATAAAAGACAATTTTTACCAATGGGAGAGAATGAGACACGTTTACCTAATACAGCCTTGCAAGGTAAGTGAATGCAGCCTGTGAAACGGCTTCACTCTGAAAGCCGTGGGTGTTAGGTTGGTCTTTGTATATGGGTGTTTCTGTTTTGCTTTTCAGAGCTAGTAACAGCAGCAGCATGTGCTGCTTGTCATACAGGGGGTGACTTGTCTCTGCACATGTGTGCATTTTTTTTTTTTGGAGAAAAAAAGGACTTCAAATTCATGGGATTGCAGTGTTTTCTTTGTGCAATGCTGATTTTTATTTTTATTTTTATTTTTTGAGGGGGGTGGGTTAAAGGGCAGGGAGATATTTTAGTCGCATTAGTATTTAACAGTGTTGGATGCCTGCTATTAACTGACTCTGTTTAAAAACTTACAGTAACTTGTGGCTTGTGTGGGTTGCCGTTCTGTTGTGAAGTTTAGAGCAGCGTACTTCTATTGCAACGATAGCAGAGATGCGAGGAACCTGGAACTGGGCAGAGCAGAGAAGGGACACGCACACACAGACAGACACACACACACATATGTTTATTTATATATATTTATTGGGTTTTATTCTCATTTTATACTTTTTGTCACTGTGCTAATGTAACACTATGTTTACTAAATGGCCCTTGTGAGCAGTACCAAAACTAGCTGGAAAAAAGCATGATCCATGGCCCATTCTGTTCTTGCTGCAGAGGTCTGAGCAGAGCAACTGGGAAGCTTGCATTGTACTTGCTTACACAGCATCTTTGACACAAAGTTTTTTTTCCTAGGATAGGATTTTTTTTTCCTACACAGTATTTTTTAAGGATCTTTCTCTAACCTAGTTAGAAGCTCTTTTCCCCATCCAAGCAATACATTATTGTAAAGATCTTATTTTTTAAGAGGTTTTCCCTTTACTTGACTCATCCTTTGTCTCTCTCAGTCTTTCTTCTGGCATGTAATTGGGAAGAACCATTAATTCTGCTGGCCCGGGACAGGGAAAGCTTTCCGACTGTTCTTTGGGTCTGCAAGATTTGCAAACCTACGTTCAGTTCACAAATGGTTTTGTGTGACTGAAATCCATGCGGCTTTCTAGCCAAAAGGGGAACTCATGGTCTTTCTTTTCCACAAAAGCTAGACTGGCACAAGTCTTTCAGTATGAGTGGCATGTGTGTGTTACGTTTATATACAACATATATTACATCTGAGGTCCAGTTTTCCTTTCAGCACTCAGATTTAACCTGGTAAGGTCTGTGAGAGAACTGCTGTGGAAAATCAGTCTTTCTCTCTCCCTTTATGCTTTATTTATTTTTTCAAATCACGGCCTTTCTTTTGCTATGCACTTTACCCTGAAGCTGCTTACTAGTTCAAATTGCATCTGTTTCTAGGGCTTGTGTTTCCGAGAAAAAGAAATGTTAATGCACCTACTTATTTTATAGCTGTTAAGTCCAGATATCCTTTGCATAACTTACGGGTGAGAAGTTCCTTCGTTCTGGTTTTCATTTAACCTTCCAGAAGAACTTTTAGAAATCTTCTTAGTCTTCAGAAATCTGTTGGGTTTAATTCTGCCCCCAGGTATGCGGGTGTAAGCCAGGAGTCATTCCACTGAAATCAGGGGAATTATATTACAGGAAAATTGGTGTGAAATAAGTCCTGAAATGAGACCCATTGTATCTTGTTGTAAATTTGTAGACTTGCATGGCCCTGATTTTGACCAAATTAAGCCACTTTTACATCACTATAATTTCATGCGCTTCAATGGAGTTACTCGACACCAACAGAACTGAGAATGGAAATGGGACCCTGGGGTCCTTTTCAGGAAAAGAAAAAGTGGCCTGTGGTACTTCAGATCTAATAAAATGCCCTTTCTTTTTCTGTAGTTCAGTTCTGGAAACCAGGAAATTTCTGGGATTGTTTTAGAAATTTGCCAAAAATAACTAGAGATTTTACTGGGGTTCTTAATAAATAAATAACATTTTGATTTGGCATCTTGATGCTGCTGATGGAGAGACGACCGCATTTCTGCCTCTTTTTCTTTCTTTTTGGTGAATTTAGTGCTTGGGTGAACTACTAAAGGTGCCAGTTTGACAGCCTGGAGGCTGCTATCACTTATTTATTAAAAGGACAGGTACAGCCTGGATAGCAGGTGCTCAAACTTCCTTGCAGTGTCTGATCAGTGCGTGTGTCAATTCTGCTGGGGAAAGAGAGGCTCATCCAGGGTATCAGAATCCCAGTCCTTTTCACTCTTTCGGCAGCATCTGCCTGTAAGGGTGAAAATCAGTGTCCTCGGGGGGTCTTATGAGGAGGACGCTAATACACATGCTATAAACTAGCTCTGGGCTCCTGACTGGTTTGCCTGAACAACTATGCGCTGTTAAAAGAAGGCTTTGGGTTTGTGTAATTCAGTTAATTCTAGCCATCTGGTCAATCAACAAATACAAGGTCATTCTGCCATCACAGTTTTCCATTTAACAATGAGTACATTTGAGCGACCTGCCCTTTGCTTCTGCTCTGTTGCTGTTACGACTTTGCCTACTCTGTAAATATTTCAGACTTGTATTGAAATGCATGCAGTTTCATTTTTGTTTGGAGTTGAATGGCGTGTATGCAGTGTGGTGCCTGCCGAGGTGAAAGTAAACACAGAACAATAGCTCTTTTGATTTAGCCCCTGATACGAATGAATTGACAGGGTATTAAAAAAATAAAACCCCTCAAACTTAAAAAAAAAATGTTTCTCATGTGCATAGTAGTTTGTGTAATTTTGGTTATATCTGAAGTCAGTACAGAATCCTGCATATGCTACACTTTGCATAGTTTTTTTCAATCTTCACATGTCATTTCGAGAATTTAGTAGCAGCATTTTGTTGGCCTAATGTTATTGCAGCTGGTGGTTTGGGGGGTTTTGCTTTTGTTTTTTGGTTGTTTGGGATTTTTTTTAAAGATGTATCTTGTGTACATCTAATTCATTGCATCCTATATTGTGTTGCAAAGCAATCTTGGAGAGTTTAACCTAGTGGACAGGTTGTGGCTTAAGGAGAATATAAGCTTGTTACAGCCACTAGTAGCACTTAGGGTGGGGGACTGAGTGGGCTACCAGCCCGGCGCACTACTTCAAAGGCAGCTTCAGGCCCCTGGGACCTCACAGCAATGCAGCCCCAGCAGCTTGAGCTTTTCCTGAGATATCAGTAGCCTGCACTGGTGCTTTCACAACTGCAGCAGAGGTAAGTGCTTACATCCCCTCCACACACGCCCTGGACCACCCAGTTATGGCTCTGGTTACAGCTACAGGCAGACTCTTCAGCTTAGGGCTGCCCATCTGGCACAGGTAACCTCTCTCTGGGGCTATGGGAGGGGACAGGCAGCACACAGAGAGAGAGGGCAGAAAGCAGAGCAGCAGATCTGGAAGGCAGCACGGGGAAGAAAGCAGAGCAGCAGACCAGGAAAGGTAAGGGGATCAGAGTGCACTTGGGGATGGTGCAGGGCTCCTTTATGGCACAGCTGCCAAAAAGGTTGTTCCCATGGCTTTAGCTCATCCTGTAGTAGCTCATTCTTTTGGTTTGGGAGCCCGCTGGTTCAGTTCCTGGTGGGCGAGTGAAGACGGCAGCACTCTTCTCAGCATTGCTTAAATGTCAGTTTGAAATCCTTTGTTTTGGTCGTAAGGCTTTCTCACTGTCAGAAAAAAAATTGTTATAACAAAATTATAAAAAATGATCTATCTGTGAAAACCATCAGTGTGGGTACACAGAGAGGTTTCCTTTAATATTTAAGCAAGGTTTTAAGGGGCTGAGATTAATCTGATGTGCTGTAGGATTTTTTTCTCATTAATTTGAATGGGCTGTGCATCCAGCCTGTAAGTGTGTCAGTGTTGGGGCGTTGCACAATATAACTATGTTTATTTTAAATCAGTATTTACCCTCATGAAACTTTGCTAATGCAAGCCCAGGCCTAAATGAGACAAATTCTTTTTCCTCTTAAACGAAAGAGGCTGGTTTCAGGACCTGGAGAGAGGAATGTGCGCTCACTGTGTGGCATGGGTTGCACGTGAGGATAAGGGCAGTGCAAACCCCACGAGAGTTAATAATATGTAGCTTATGAGTTACGCACACTTTAAGTAATACTCATTAACATTGTGGCCAGTCATACTTCATTAATGGGAGTCTTGTGAAAGAAAGTCCTAAGTCTGAAGTTCTGATTTTTGGGGGCACATTATAGCCTTAGGCATTGGAGACTTACATGCCTTGGATGGTCTATGGAAAAGTATTAGCAGAACATCACTGGACCGCTTCTTGGCACTTTGAATGATAATGGTGAGGGTTTTCTATGGTCACATTTCTGACATAGATTGGCTCTATTCATCAACTAGGAACAGTCACAATGGATAATTTAAAATAATTCATTTTATTGCTGCTTCCTGTGGATTTCTGACTTCCTTTTCAAAGTGCCAAACCAGGACAGCTTGAGATCTCAGTACTGATCAGTGGCCAGGTGCTATTAGGAGTATGAGCAGTTTGAGTATCCCTGCAGAGTCATCATCACCAGCTAGATCAGTGTAGAGCACTTACGTGACATTAGCATAACATTTATAAGTCTATCCAAATGTGTTAACTCTTTTGTCATGTACGTGCTGTACGCACTGCTTTGTATCCCAAATTTAAATATGGTGGAGAGTTGCAGTTTGGGATTTTAGTTTGGCTATACAACCTAGCACAATGAAAAGTTGATTGTGCCCAGTTTGGAGCTTGTACCAGGTTAAGCTGTTTCAGCTCCATTTTATCCTGTGTTTAAGTTTCTTTAAATTCATAACTCACAGCAAACCAAAGAGGTGCAGCTCTAAAAATTGAAATCCTGAAGTTAGGGATGGATTCTGGCACGGCCTGAGAACTCCCGAGATTACTTCACTGTTACTTGCCTATTTCAGTGTTGGGCCCAAATTACCATTTTTCATTTACCTACAACAAGAAACTCACTGAGGTTCTTTCAGCTGTGATGGTTCCCCTAAAGACTTCAGCTTGTGAGCTCAGGTATCCCAGGATAGAGTTACAATACATCCGGGTTTTC